GCCATCCTGCAGGAGCACCCAGGAGTCTCCATCACCTTTTGCTGGGAGCTACAAAAATGCAGCGTGAAAATGCAGCTCTGGTGTCAGAGCTGAGAATTTCACATGGAGGCAAGAGACGGCAGATGGGACAATGTGGTGGGCTGAGGAGCAGTGAGACAACACTGCCTGCCAGGGCAGACAGGACCAGGCAAACCTGGTGGGGCTCTGTGGGAAAAGAGGAGATTTCAGGAAGGATTTGGGAGAAAAGGCAGAGATTCTTTTTGTAGCTTCCAAACTCCAGGTGTGCATGGTGATCCAGGTGTGGGGGAGAAGGGGATCTCTGAAGGGGATCTCATTCAGGCTGCTGAGTGGTGTGCATGGAATTAGTGGGAAGAGGAGGGGGCAGGAAAAAAGGAGCTGGGAAGTGCTGCAAAGTGTGGGGAGAGGGGAAAAAGCAGGATGGGGCAAAATGAGGAGAAGGAGCAGCCAAAGGAGCAAGGGAGTGAGGGATGGGGAGGCACAGAGGAGCTGGCAGAGGGCAGAGGCTTTGGGGAGCCCAACAGCTGGGTCTGGGAGAGGGGACAGTGCTTTCCCTGCTGGCTTTGATCCCCCCTGGCTCTCAGCCATCCTCAGGCCCACCCTGCTCACTGCCATCCTCAGGACCTCGGTGGTGCCCTGCCCAGACAGCCGAGGGGCTCCGTGCTGGCACAGCTTCGCTGCCAGGTCCCTGCTGCATCCAGCACATTTCCCAGGGGTTCTCCAGTCTCCTGAAAAGGCCTGGAGATCCCTCATGGAGAGCCAGTGGCACTCTGCTTCGAAATGGTGCAGTGAATTTTAAAGGTGAGCTGCAAAATGCATCCAAAGTGGTTTGTGTTTCTGTTTTCCTCCCTGCTCTGCAAAGGCAGTGAATCGTTCTCCACAGCCAGGAGCAATCAGCAAGAGCAGCACAGACAAACCCAGAGAAGGAGGGGATGAGGAGCGGGAATGAAGGGGGCTGGGAAGGAATGCCAGGCAGGCTGTGGAGCTGTGGCTGCCCAGGGTTTCTGGAGCAGCCTGGACAAACATCTGCCAGGGAAGGTTGGGGCTGAGCGGATTTTGCTGGTGGCAGGTGTTGCTTCATCCCAGTGACCTCTCGGGCTCCCTCCGGCCTCATGCTCAGTGATCCTGCTTTTCTGCCATCAGAAATGTCAGCCCAGCCCTCCCCTCCCGCTGCCAGAGCGTGCAGAGCAGGTTTATCAGCTCAGTCCTCATCATTTTTGCCAACGTTTTTCACAGTTGCTCCTTTCACCAGAGATACATTTGTTTATATGGATACAAGCAAGCAAAAAGTGAGATTTAAAATGGGAAAAAATAAACATCCATTTCCTATATTTTTCTTGTATTTTCCAGGTGTATCATTCTCCCACGAAATCTTCCAGCAGGAGGAGTACCCCGAGGTGGGAATAACTCCATGCTGAAGATTTGGCCTCAGGCAAACACTAGAAAGAGAAGGTAAAGGAGGGAGACAGGAACTGATGCTGCTCCGTGGCTTTGTTGGAATCTTTTAAAGGCAGCTCAGGTGTCCTGGCCATTTTACCATGCCCTCAGGATCTAAATCCACATTTATTTTCCTTGTCCGATCCTTGCTGCTGCAGCCCAACCCGGATTATTCCATGATGCGCAGCCTCGGGATGACAGAGCAGAGTGTTTGTGAATACCTGGAGGATTTGGTTTCACTGGCAGCGCTTTTCCCAAGCCTGCCCATCTAAAGGAGAGGGGAAGGTCCAAAGGGGGCTGGTTTTCCCTGAGTTTTCCTAGAGAAAAGGGCTGTGGGAAGGCAGGAGGGCCGGAGGCACCGGGCACACCCCGCCTGTCCCACCGGCGCAGCTCTTTTCAAACTCTGGCTCCTGCATTTCTGCAGAGAAATCCAGCGCCTGCTTCAGCTCATCCATTATTCCTTCCAGCTGCTCTTTGCCGCGTCGGGGCGGGCATTGAGGAGGTGGGATTTATCCCGGAACGTGTCCCGTTCTTTTCTTCCCTGCCCATTGACTCGGCCAACATCTGCTCCCGTTAACCCTCGCTGGCCCCACAGCTCTGGGGATCCTTTATGGCTCCGGAGCACTCGGCATTGTGTCAGCAACAGCCGAGGTGTCCCGGGAGAAGAAAACCCTCCTTTTGCTGGGGGGGAGTGGGATTTGGGCACTAAAATCCATCCTGGATAGCTCAGCAAAAAGCAACAGTCACGGGAGGTCAATCAAAGTGTTTTCTCCCTAAAAATCATTTTCCACACACTCACATCATGAAACCTGGTGGGTTCAGCTCCCCTTCCCTGCCAGGCTCTTGGGAATCACCTCAAACACCTCAAGATTGATTGGTTTTATCTGTTCTGCTGTGGTATTGGGTTTTTTTCCCTACTTTTGGGCATGATTTGCTTTTCCCCCACTGCTCTGCCTTAGGGGCTTCATTGGAAGCAGCGTGGATACCTATGGATCCCATATGGCTCCTCTGGGAAGCAGCTCCATGGTAAATACTGGAAATAGGCACGGAGCAGATGGGAGGGAAGGGGCACCGGTTTTAACAGCAAAATCCTCCCTGCCTTCGCACGGTAACAAGTCCTGGGGTGTGGGAAGGAATAGATGAGGAAGGACGAGAGGTGTTTGGAGGGATGCAGCTGCACTTTGCATGCGGCTCTGCTCCCCTTCCCGCTGCGGGGAGAAGAAGGGAGGATTTTGCGTTTCATTTACGAGGCATTTCGGGCTCTGCGGCTCGCGAAGAGCCGGAGGGAAGTGCCACGGGGAGGGAGACGTGACAGCGCACACAAAGGGAGCCCGAGCGGCGGCTCCGCTCGCATTCCAATGCGGCCAGGTAGGGACAGCTCCGGGGACAGCTCCCGGGACACCGCCAGGCACTGCCCGGGCCCGGTGAGCCCCTGGCCGGCGGAACGGGCTCCCACAGCCCGGTGATCCCGGCTCCAGCCCCACGAACTAACACCGGCATGGGGATCCAGCCCCGGGCCAGGCTCTCCCGGAGGAATTCCGGCCCCGGCAGGGAGAGGCTCCTGAAAGGCTCCAGCCCCTGAAAGGCTGCAGGAACAAAAGCAAAGCGATTTGGGCTCCTAAAGGAGCTCCCAGCCCCGGGTTCTGCAGGACAGAAGGCACCGAAGGGAAGCAGAGAGGCAGCTCCTCCAGAGGGGGCCGGGGCACAGCAGGGACCCCGAGCTGGGCAGGAGGGCAGGATGGGGAATTTTAAATGGAACACACACACACGAACATCGGGAATAAGGGCAGGAGAACGGCCGCAGTGCCTCAGCCAAACCTCACAGTGCCCATCCTCCCTCCAGGAATCATTCTGCGCGAAGGTGAGGGAGCACCTCCCGTGTTCCCACTGCTCTCTTCCCGGGAATCTGCGGCTCTGGGGCTTCCCCGGGTGGCCACAGCCCGGCTTGTCCCCTTCTCCCGTGGAACCCCGCTGCCAGCCCCACGGAGTCCCTCAGCAGCGGTGCTCCGAGGGGCTGAATGAACCCAGGCAGTGCCTCCGTCCCTCGTTCCGTGCTCTTCTTCCATCGTGGGATGCCCCCTAATGCTCACAGCGCAGCATCCCGGCCTCCAGCACATCCCGGGCTCCAGAATCCTCTCTCCAGTTCCCCTGGATCCAGAATCCTCTCTCCAGTTCTCCTGGCACATCCCTGGCTCCAGAATCCTCTCTGCAGCCCCCTTGGCACATCCCGGGCTCCAGAATCCTCTCTCCAGTTCCCCTGGATCCAAAACCTGCTCTCCAACCCCCCTGGCACATCCCTGGCTCCAGAATCCTCTCTACAGTCCCCCTGGATCCAGAATCCTCTCTCCTGCTCCTCTCAGCAGGGCAATCCCTGCTTCCATTATGAAATTCACGATGAAAGGTTACAAAAGCTTTGCTGGAGCAAATGGAAAGCTGAATTAAGTGCCAGAAAACTCAAATTTGGGCTCGGAGGCAAAAATGACACCAGAGAATGTGGATTTTGGTGGTTATGGGCTGTAAATTTGCTGTTACTGCAGATCATTTTTACCATGTTCAGCACTTCCCAAATGTGCTGATACTGAAACAGGAGTCAGTGAGAGAGTAACAGACCCCTCACAAATCCCCCGTGTCCCAAAGCGTCCCTGATGCTTCCCAGATGGATTAAATGTGCCACACAGGGGTTTGGAAAGGGGCAGGTGGAACCCTGTGACCAGGGCTCGGGGTGACCAGGGCAGCTGGGGGCAGCTGGGGGCAGCTCTGCTGCTGGGAACGGGGAGCCAGCCCAGGGTGTGCCTCTGTGAGCAGTGGGATGGGGATCATGGGGATCCAGCCCCATTAATTATTATGGGAACGGGGATCCAGCCCCAGGGTGTGCCTCTGTGAGCAGCGGGATGGGGACCCAGCCCCATGAATTATTATGGGAATGAGGAGCCAGCCCAGGGTGTGCCTCTGGGAACAATGGGGTGGGGATCATGGGGATCCAGCCCCACAAACTAACAATGGGATGGGGACCCAGCCCCATTAATTATTATGGGATGGGGAGCCAGACCCAGGCTGTGCCTCTGGGAACAACGGGATGAGGATCCAGCTCCATGAACTAAGGATGGGATAGAGATCCAGCCCTGTGAATTAATGATGGGGGGTGAGCATCTAGCCCCGTTAATTACGATGGGATGAGGATCCAGGTCCACGAATTAATGATGGGATGTCCCATTCAGAACTTTAATTAACCACATGGGTGAGGATCCAGCCGCTTTAATTGAGGTTGGGACGCGGGCCCAGCCCCGCTAATTGCCGATCCAGCCGCGTTAATTGCCGATCCATTCCCGTTAATTAATTGCCGATCCATTCCCGTTAATTAATTGCCGATCCAGCCCCGTTAATTGCCGATCCATTCCCGTTAATTAATTGCTGATCCATTCCCGTTAATTGCCGCGCACGCGGGTCCCCGGGGGGCGGCAATGGCGGCTCGGGCCGCACCCCGCCAGCAGGGGGCGCCACCCGCCCCGCGCATGCGCGGCCCGCGGCGTTTCCCGCCGCGCGCGGCCCCTCAGCGGCGCCCGCCATGTTCGCGGAGCTGAACGAGCTGCTCGGGGCCTCCCCGGAGCGCCCGGACGCGGTGAGAGGGCGCTGAGAGGGCGGGAGGGACGGGCCGGGGCCGCCGGGAGCGGCGGGGCACGCTGGGAGGGGCACGGCCTCCGCAGACGGAGGCGGCGGCTGCGGCCGGTGCCAGAGCTGAGCCGCCTTCGGCCCTTCCATCTCCCGTTCCCGGCTCTCCGCCGCTCCTCACGGCTCCGGCTCCCACTGAGCAAGGGCCGAGCTCTGCTCCCGCGGTGTGTCCGTGCTCCCATGCGGGGAATAAACACAGAACTGGGCGTTAAACCCGCTGGCGGGCACTGCTCCGGACCGGGGAGCTGCTCTAGAGATACTTGTCATTAATTAATTAATTAATGTAGCTTTTCCAGGGAGGTTTTGTGTAAATGAAGTCACGCAGGAACTAAACAGCCTGGCTGTCTGTGAGAGCTGTGCAGGTAAAATGTCAGTCGTGGAATCCCAGAGTGGTTTGGGCTGGAAGGAGCCTCAAAGCTCATCCAGCCCCACCTCCCGTCCTGTGTAGGGACATTTTCCTGCATCCCAAGCCCCGTCCAACCTGGCCTGGGACACTTCAGGGATCCAGGGGCAGCCAGAGCTGCTCTGGGGATTCTATTCTAGGGCCTCTCCACCCTCACAGGGAACAATTCCCAATTCCCAATCTCCCATCCATGCCTGCCCTCTGGCAGTGGGAGCCATTCCCTGGCTCCTGTCCCTCCATGCCTTGTCCCCAGTCCCTCTCCAGCTCTCCTGGAGCCCCTCCAGGCCCTCAGGGGCTCTGAGCTCTCCCTGGAGCCCTCTCCTCTCCAGGGGAGCATTCCCAGCTCTCCCAGCCTGGCTCCAGAGCAGAGGGGCTCCAGCCCTGGAGCCGCTCCAGGTCTGTTTTCTGTCCATCCGTCCCCCAGCCTTTGCTGATTCTGGGTGTTGTCCTGGCCCAGGTGCAACACCTTGCACTTGGCCTTGTTGAACCTCATGAGGTTCCCATGGACCCGCTCTGTCAACTTCTCCAGGTCTCTCTGGATGTCCCATCCCTTCTCTCTAGTGTGTGACCACACCACCAGCTTGGTGTCATCAGTAATTATTAATAAATTATCCATATGCTCCATGTTACTCCATGTTTTTCCTGACAGTTATGAGCTTAGATGATAAAAACAAGTTTGAGGTGATAATTTATTTTATAAGTGTGAGTTTCCCCTTTTGTCTCCAGTTTCCCCCCTTGCTGTACTACCAGCTTGTGATGGGAATAGGAGAGGTTTCTCCTTGATCTGGAGGGTACTTCTGAGGTCATTCCTTGTCAGGCTGGCAGGAGTGGGGCAGTGCTGCTCTGATGGGGAATCAGTACTGAGGGGAATTTGGGATGGTGCCCTTGAGGCTCAGAGCAGACCTGGGGAGGTGTTAGTAAAGGGTGGTCTGAGTGTGCAAAGTCCCAAAGCCCTGAGGTGCCTCTGGGTTGCTGTTGGGTTTTTAATGCACGTGAAACACTAAGGGAGAAGTGCTTGGTGGAGTTTGTGCTCTGTGGTGTGGACAGGACACTTTGGTGGTGGAGCTGTGGGATGAGTGGGAATGAGGGCATCCACGAGCTTGGTTCTGAGGCAAGGAGCTCACCTTGATGTGAGCAGGAAGTTCCACAGAGCAAAACCCTGAGCTTTGGCCTGAAGATCCTGGGTTTGGCTTGGCAGCCAGAGCAGGAGCTGAGCAAGGCTTTGTCTGTGTGAGGAATTCCCTTGGGTTGAGCTGGGCGTTCCCATCCCACCACAGGCTGTGGGTTCTGCTCTCTCTGGGTGTCACACCAGCGTGTCTGCCTGCCCGGCGAGCGGTGTTCCCAGTGCTGGAGTGGGGAATGGCCTCCTGCAGTCCTCACGGCACTAAAGGTGCTTCACTCTGGTGGTCAATGATGAGTAGTGTGTGTGCAGGTCCCCCTCGGTGATCCCCGTGCAGAGCCAGTCCCTGTGGTGTGCTGGGGTACCCGGCCGGGTGTCCCCCTGTGTGGCAGTGTCAGCCCTCTGCTGGCCGGCCCTTCCCGGCGCTGCCATCCCCATTTCCGCAGCTCCACAGCCGGGCCCTGCCGCTTCCCGGGCTGACAGGAGCTGTCCCCGCAGGCTGCTGGGTGCAGGGAGCTGCTGTGGCCGTGCCTGCTGTGTCACCTGGGCTTGTGGCACCCGCCGGCGCATTCTGGCAGTTCCTGGCGAGCAGCTGCAGGCTCTCCCTGAGCCTGCAGGTGTTGAGTGTGTGAGGGCAGAGCGTGGACACACCGGGCTGGGGCTCGTGGGGAGGATGCCACAGGAAGGCTTTGCCTTTGGGATGGTGCTGGGTGCTCAGAGTGACAAACGCCAGCACAGCCTGTGGGACCCAGCTGGTGCTGGCAGGGAGGGCACGAGGGGCGTGCCCAGCCCGCTCTTCCCGGGGCTCTGGTGGGGAGCAGGAGGGGATGGAGCTGCACAAGATAAACCCTGAATGCCTGGGTTTGTGCTCTTTGACACAGCTCTCCTCCATGGAGGGCACATCTTGGGGCGGTGTCCCTGTCACTGCAGTGTGTTATGCCATTGAGGCATAACCCTTTTTGGGGAAAGAGCTCTATCTCACTCCAGCTCTCACTTCCCTGCCCTGGCCTCTGCTCTGCATTCCCTGCAGTCACGTTCAATGTTTGCTGTTCCATTCACTCGCACCGGGGAGTTTGTTCTGATGGATGGTTTGGGAATTGCCTGTGTGGAGGTGGCTCGTTGCTCTGAAAGGCTTCTTCTGTTCCTGGGAGTAGAAAAACCTCCCACTTTGATAAGTTCTTTGTGTTTCCAAGCAGCTCATCTATGATTTGTATTGATTAAAGAAACATCCTGCCTAAGATTTTAATGGAAACAAACACCTTGATGAGGCTGGGGCTGATAATGAGTGTGCACTAATGAACAGAATTAATTTCCTGCCTGATCAAAACAGGGTTTATACCTTGTGCTGAGAGCTCTGCTGCACTACAGAACTTTGATGATAAGATTTTCTACTCTGAAGGTGGCATGTTGGAAGTAAAGCTGGAAGGGAGGCTAGGGAGGCCGTTTGACACAGGAGGAGCAGCATCTCCAGGGGTGCTGGCGTTTGGAGCACACTGGCAGTGCTGGCTGTGGCAGGGGAGGATGGGCTGGGAGTGCAGTGAGTGAGTGGCTCTTGTTCCCCTGCCACTGGGAGAAGAAAGATGCCCATGAATTGGAGGAAAGGGGCACAAGGCCGGGAGATGGAAACAGCCCAGAAGCCCCTGGTGGTGCCCAGCACCAGAGGCTCGGTGTGGTGGCACTGGGAGCACCGTGCTGCACCCTAGGGGAGGGGGTGGCACCTGCTGGGCACAGACCTGGGGGTCCAGCTGGGCTCACAGCTGAGCACAAGGGTTTTTAGCTGGGACATGTGGGGACATGGTCCAGTGGTGAAGGGTTTTTAGCTGGGACATGTGGGGACATGGTTCATGGTGAGCTTGGCAGTGCTAATGGTTGAGCTGGGTTCATGGTTGGACTTGGTGGGCTCAGAGGGCTTTTCCAGCCCTAGTGAGGCTGTGGTTCAGATGCCTCCCCGTGGGCTGTGTCCAGAGGAAGTGCTGGCTTCCCTCTGTAAACAGGCAGCTGGAGCTCTGCTTGTCCACTTCTTCCTCTGAGTAGCACCTGCAGAATTCCTGCAGCTTGAGCCAACATCTTGTCTACCAAGAGCACTTGGTGCCCTCACCTTACTCTGCTATTTTGCTGCTTCTTTTCCAGGGTAAATTCACCCTGCTGCGAGACACCCGGACAGATGGCAGCTTCCTGGTTCACCACTTCCTCTCCTTCTACCTCAGAGGTGGGTCAGCAGCAGCACTCTGAGGCAGGAACACCTCAGAGGTTCCCTCAATGAGGGAGCAGTTCTGCAGAGTGTGAGTTATCCTCAGATAAACCCAAAGTTTGGGGGTAGGATTTATGGGTCCTAGTCCTGACTTGTTCTTGGGACTCCTCTGTATCCTTGGGTACATCCCATAATTCTGCACCTTGTTTCATCATGGATTGTGGCAATGGTTGTAAATCAAACAGGCTCTGACAGGGAAGTGTTCACTGCAATTCTCTCACTGCTTCCATTTTTATGATATAATTACACATATCAGGACCAATTAACAACAGATAAGCTCAGAGTGACTCAAGAAACAAACAGAGCCTGGCAAGCTGTCTAATTACTTTTGTGGGAGCAGTTTCCCCTGTGAGTAACCTCCTGGCCCCTGCAGAGCAGGCATTGGACTCAGGGGCTCCTCCAGCTGTAAATGGTTCAGAGACCTGCCAGGCACTGCCTCAGGCTCTGCTGGTGTCCTGCCCCACACAGTGCCCTGGGCATTGGTGCTGCTGCCCCTCAGCAGTGCCCTGGGCATTGGTGCTGCTGCCCCACAGCAGTGCCCTGGCCATTGGTGCTGCTGCCCCACAGCAGTGCCCTGGCCATTGGTGCTGCTGCCCCACAGCAGTGCCCTGGCCATTGGTGCTGCTGCCCCACAGCAGTGCCCTGGCCATTGGTGCTGCCCCACAGCAGTGCCCTGGCCATTGGTGGTGGTGCCCCACAGCAGTGCCCTGGGCGTTGGTGCTGCTGCCCCACAGCAGTGCCCTGGGCGTTGGTGCTGCTGCCCCACAGCAGTGCCCTGGGCGTTGGTGCTGCTGCCCCACAGCAGTGCCCTGGGCGTTGGTGCTGCTGCCCCACACAGTGCCCTGGGCATTGGTGCTGCTGCCCCACAGCAGTGCCCTGGGCATTGATGGTGCTGCCCCACAGCAGTGCCCTGGGCGTTGATGGTGCTGCCCCACAGCAGTGCCCTGGGCGTTGATGGTGCTGCCCCACAGCAGTGCCCTGGGCATTGATGGTGCCCCACAGCAGTGCCCTGGGCATTGATGGTGCCCCACAGCAGTGCCCTGGGTGTTGATGGTGGTGCCCCACAGCAGTGCCCTGGGCGTTGGTGTGCTGGCTGTCACCTGCTCCCCTCCAGCCCAGGACCTGGGTGCTGTTATTCCCTGTTTGCAGCACCCCCATGTTGTCCTCTTGGTGCCCAAAACCTTTGGGAGATCTGAAGGTTCATCTGGGGCCATTGACTTGTTCTATTTGAAATCCATGTCCAACAAACATGCTTATGTTCATAGCCAAACTGTGTTCCAAAATCACTTTTTATTTAGGTGTCTGACACAATTCCCAGTTCTGTGTTTTTCCAGTCAAGGTCGCTTGCCCTGTGAGAGCCAAAATGGGAATTTTTGGTATGTCTGTGGTTTCAGTAGTTCAGTGTCACAGCTGGCACTTGGCCTCCTTACTGTCACACCATCAAACAGGGTCAGGAGGTCTCAGGCTGGCCTGGCATGAGGCAGAAAAGTGGCCTTACACTCTTCAAAGTCATCTTTTTCCTTCTTTTTCCTTCTTTTTAAACTCACATTTTCACTACTGCAGATATCCTCTAGAAGGGTGGAAACTGAAAGCAAAGGAGGGTTTGTCTAGACCTGCATCACTTCAAGGTCCTTCCAGACAGATGTGTGGCCTGGCTGCTGTGATTTATGAGCTTTGATAATGTCAGCTGCAGAGTGGAACTGCTAACACGTGCTTTTGTCCCTCCCCAGCTGGCTGCAAGGTTTGCTTTGTGGCCCTGCTCCAGTCCTTCAGCCACTACAGCATCGTGGCACAGAAGCTGGTGAGTCCTTGGCATGGGTTCATTGTTGTGGGTCCAGGAAGTTTCTGTTGGGTGGGAAGGAATGGGAATGGGCAGCAGGAACTGTGTGTGAGCAAATGTTTCCAGGCCTTGATGGGGACAGTCAGGACTGGTGCTCCTGGGATGGGGATAAAGGGCACTTTGGGGCAGAAGCCCAGCTGTGAGGTGCCCCACGGGCTCTGCCCTGCCACGAGCTGGAGCAGCTGCTTGCTTTGTGCTTGGAATGGTTTGCTGGGGATCAGTGCTCCCCAGACAGGCACAGACTGCTGGATGGAGGCTCCTTAATCCCCTGGAGAGGAAAATGCTGGGGTGTCAGTGTTCCCAGGACCCTGCACTCCTACAGGGGCTCCTGGGGTGACTTTGTGCCCTGTCCTCTGGTTCCTGTTGGGATGGAGGGTCACAAGGACACCTGTGTGCCTCCTTGGCCTCTGGGCTGAGCCATCCCTTTGAGCTCTGTGAGGAGCCACAGGTAAGTTCCTGGGGATTTCCTTCCCATGCTGAGTTGGACAAGGATTATGTGTACTCTGCAATGAGGAAAGAGAGACAAAGCAGGCAGGGTAATTCTGCGTGTCAGCATATTGTCTGAGCTCCAAACTGCTTCACTCAGCTCTTTTACACCACTCCAAGGTGAAATGCCCCAGGTGGGCAGTGCAGGTGACCTTCCAGGGCTGAGGGGATGAGGGCTTGCACTGCTCCTCCCTCTGGTTCTGCTGTGAATCCCAGCAGCACTGCTGCTCACAAAGACTCCCAGATGCTGAGGAGCCAGGTTCTGTATTCTCCACTGGAAACACGGTGCTGCTAAACAGCTGGATTTTATTTCCTGCTCAGATTTTACCTTTTGAAAGGAGATCAGCGCCCGGGGCACACAGCAAACAGGCTGTTCCCCCACGGAGCTGTAACTCCAGGTGTGATTCCCCTGGCTGAACAAACCCCCCAGGAGCACAGAGCTGTCCTGGCCTTTGTGGTGCAGAGGGGAGGAAATCCTGGGGGGAACTTGCTGAGTGGGGCAGGAAATGGGGCGCAGCAGCCGCTGTGGGGAGGAAATCCAGCGGTCAAATACGGGCTCCCTGCCTGCTCCTCAAGTTCAGGGTGTTTCCTAATGCCGAGATTTCCCGGTGTACACTCATAGCAGCTGCTGACATCTCCCTGGCTGGAGGCTGAGGAGCGAGAACAGGAGGATTAGCTGGAGCACACGTGCGATGCAAATGGGGGCGATTTGCTGTCTGATACTCGAACAAAAGGTGGCTGCCACAAAGGAGGTGATAAGCACAGCTCAGAGAAGCGCTGAGCTGCTTTCAGCTCTGAGTCACTCCTGCCTTGCAGCTTCATAGGTGCCCCTGTGGTCCTTGCTGTGAATTCCTCCCAGGCTCTGAGGAGCTGGAGGTCGCAACATCGGTTATTTATATCCAAGTTTCCATCACATTTTCTCTTTGCTTTAATCCTTCTTTGCACAGATGAACACACCAGGCTCAGAAAAGGTGGTTCTCGGCAGGGTAGTTTCACTCTTAAATTTGGTTAAGAACTGGCTGCTGTAGATCTTTACTGGAGAGCAGTAATGGTTTGGCCACAGGCCCTGTGCTGGCACTGCTGAGGCACCTCCAGTCCTGGGGGCAGATTTGTGATCCCCAGGTACAGGACAGGGCGTGTCCAGAGAAGGGAATGGAGATGGGGAAGGGTCTGGAGCCCCAGGAGGGGCTGAGAGAGCTGAGGGAGGGGCTCAGCCTGGAGAAAAGGGGGCTCAGGGGGGACGGCGTGGCTCTGCACAGCTCCTGCCAGGAGGGGACAGCCGGGGGGGCTCAGAATCTGCTCCCAGGGAGCAGGGACCTCAAGGGTTGCCAGGGGAGGTTCAGGTTGGATATTGGGAAAATTCCTTCCCTTGAAGGGTGATCCGACCCCAGCCCAGCTGCCCAGGGCAGTGCTGGAGTCCCCACTGGTGAAGGGATTTAAAAACCCTCTGTTTGTGGCACCTGGGAACATGGCTTGGTGGTGGCCCTGGCTGTGCTTGGGGGAATGGCTGGACTGGATGGATTCAGGGGACTTCTCCAGCCTCAGTGATTCTGTGACTGTGATTATGGCCTTAGGAAAGCCTGCACTTGGAAGAGCTTCAGAACTGAGCAATGGCCCAGTTTCTGTTGGGAGCAGAGTAGTCCCAGCCCCAGGAGGAGGCTCCTGGAGTCAGGGTGGATTGTACAGTGACACTTGTAGCACTTATGTGAGGTGATAAAGTGAATATTTATACACAGCTGAAGTGATATTTCCAGGGACTTGCTGCTTTCCCAGAGTGCCAGGTGTTACAGGTCCCAAACCACTTCCTTCTGTGTTAGCTAAGCGCAGGGATGTATCTTTACTTGCAGGAAAAAACTTCCCTGGCTTTTTTTGTGCCTGTGTCCTCTTTCCCTGAGGACCCACACTTCATTTTAAGGCACTGTCAGTGTTATTGGCCCTGACCTTGCAGAGAACATGCAGGGCTATATCAGGACAAACAGCAGCAGGGCACCCTGCCAGGTTGGTGTTCCCACCCTCACTTGAACAAAGTTTGTTTTGTTTTACAGGAAAACCAGATTTGTCCCCATTTGATGATGCCCATCTCCTGTCCCCTTCGTGGAGCTCACAGCTTGGAGGGCGTGGTGTGGCCTGATCACTGATGGCCCCACTTTGTCCCACAGCTGTGTTTGCCGATGAGCTCATCCCCCCTGCTTTGCACTCTCCATTCCTTCTGTCCCTCAGACATTTCCCTTTCCCGTATGGGATGGCCAGTGGAGAGCAGCAGCTCTGCTCTGAGGGGCTGTCACTGCTGGCAGCCGGGGGGCAGCACGCTCCACAGCTGCCCAGAGGGACAGGAGAGCTGAGCTGCAGCTGCAGGAGCATCCTGGGCCGGGTCCTGCTGGTCAGGAGCATCCTGGGCTGGGTCCTGCTGCTGCTGCAGGAGCATCCTGGGCTGGGTCCTGCTGGTCAGGAGCATCCTGGGCTGGGTCCTGCTGGTCAGGAGCATCCTGGGCTGGGTCCTGCTGGTCAGGAGCATCCTGGGCTGGGTCTTTCTGCTGGTCAGGAGCATCCTGGGCCGGGCCCTGCTGGTCAGGAGCATCCTGGGCTGGGTCTTTCTGCTGGTCAGGAGCATCCTGGGCTGGGTGCTGCTGCTGGTCAGGAGCATCCTGGGCTGGGTCCTGCTGCTGGTCAGGAGCATCCTGGGTTGGGTCCTGCTGCTGGTCAGGAGCATCCTGGGCTGGGTCCTGCTGCTGGTCAGGAGCATCCTGGGCCGAGTCCTGCTGGTCAGGAGCATCCTGGGCCGAGTCCTGCTGGTCAGGAGCATCCTGGGCCGGGTCCTGCTGCTGGTCAGGAGCATCCTGGGCTGGGTCCTGCTGCTGCAGGAGCATCCTGGGCCAAGTCCTGCTGGTCAGGAGCATCCTGGGCCGGGTCGATGGCTGGCAGCATTCCAGGGTAATGTCCTGTGCTCCAGGGTAATGGAGCAGGATGCTGGCTCACAGTGAAAGCTTTCAGGCTGTCTGGGTGCTGGGCACTGCAGTGGCTCTGCTCTGGGGATATCAGTCCTGGCTGTGCACTCAGGAAGGTGCCACTGGCCATTTAGAGCACTTAGCCCACTTTTCCAAGCTGCCTGATGCTTCCTGTGCTGCTTCCAGAGATCACACTGGGTGGGTTGGCAGCAGGGGACAGGCAGAGGTTTGCTGTGGAAGGTGGCTGCAGTGGGTGAGTTCCCTGGAACCTGTTCCCCTGCTGGAAAATGCAGCTGGACTTGCTGGGTCCATGGCATGGCACTGAGGGGGCTGAATTCTTGGTCTGACACACAGGCACCCTGTCCCTGGCTGCTGTGGCCCTTCTCTGTCACCCAGGCAGGCCCTGGTGTCACAGCACTGAGCTTCCTTCTGAAGGGGGGACGCTTTTCGTGCAGATCTGAGGTACAGAGACTTTGTGTATGCAGGAAGAAATGGCTGAAGCAAAGGTAAAATCAGTTGCTGAATTATTGATATCAATAGTGAATTTAGTCACAGCCTTTCAGCAGGTTCCCAGTCCTATGGACTGCAGAAATCCCTGAGGGAATGGGGCATGTGAGGGAATGTGAGGCTGCTGTGCAGCCCAGCCTTTCCTTATGGCATGGCAGGTATTTATTTGCTGGCTGTTCCCTGCTCCTCACCTGCCACATAAAGGTGCTTCTGTCCTTGGCTAGGAAGTTTTCCATCGTGTGTGCTCAGAATTGCCCAATAATGCTGCTATTTCTGGAGCTGTTACTGAGGGGTAGTGCCCAAAAAAATCTATTGCTTGATAGGGGGACTCTGAAGAGGGAGTGAGCATTCAGGCATATGTTCCTTCCCAGCTGAGTAGAAGGAAAATAGAGGAAGAGTTCTCAGGCAGCAGGATTCCTGGGGTTGGGAGTCCAAGCAGCTTCCATTTAAAGCAGGGAGCAGATGCCAGCAGATGGAGTTCAGTCGGGCCTCAGATTATTCTTAATATCCATGTTACAAAGTGATAGTGCTGCAAAATTGAGCCTGGGAAGATAATCATGGAATGGTTTGGGTTGGAACACACCTGAAAAGGTGACCTAGTCCAATCCTCCAGGAAATAATTGTACTGCACATGGTCATGGAATCACTGAGGTTGGAAAGCCCTCAGGGATCTTTGTGTCCCCCTGTCCCCCAGCACTGCCAAGGCCACCTCTAACCCAAGTGCCACATCCACAAGGCTTTAAATGCCCCCAGGGATGGTGACTCCTCCACTGCCCTGGGCAACCCCTTCCAGTGCCTGGCCACCCTTTTTGAGAATAAACTGTGGAGAGTGAGAAGGTCCCCTCAGAGCCTCCTCTTGTCCAGGCTGAGCCCCCCAGCTCCTCCAGCCCTTGACAGGCCTTGGAGCAACCTAATCCAGTGGAAGATGTCCCTGCAGAGGGATGAACTGGATGACCTTTAAACATCCCTCCAACCCAAACCTGTGTAGGCTTGTGTGATCTCCAGCTGAGCCTTGTCCATGTGTGCTGCAGCTGTGGATGTCTCCGTTGGAGCTGGCTGTTCCCAGCACGTGGCTCTCCATTGGCCTCACCACCAGGCAGGGCTGTGAGCCAGCTGAGCTTGAGTCTGAGCTGCAGCCCCAGGTGTTTGTCATGGTCCTCCTCCTCCTGGTGGAGTCAGGGCTGCTTCCCGTGGGATTCCTGGCTGTGGGAGCCCTGGCTGCTCTCTCCAGGTGTTGTGCAATGCAGGGATGCCAAGCCCACGGCCTCTCTGGATCCAGGCCGTGCCAGGCTCAGCTGGTGCCAGGCTCAGCTGCGTGGGCTGTGCCCGGAGCCCTCATTGCCACAGATCTGGAGATAGTGACAAACAAAAGCTTTCACCTCCCAGGGAGGGAGGTGAAGGGATTGCTCACAGCAGGCCCTTGGAGAAGCCTGGCCCATTCTCTCCCTGCCTCTGCACACCAAGCTGGCTTCCCAGAAGGAATTCCAGGAGGTTTGAGCTCCCAAATCACAATCACAAATGTGCTTTTGTTATCTCTGGGCAAAGTACAGAAGAGTGAATATGCCACCAGTGACTGTAACAGAAATGCCCATTTCATCCCTGAAGCACTGACTTTATCAGCACATTTAGATAAGATTTGATTCAAACAAGAATGAAAATTTGGCTGTCGACCCATGTGGTTCTGTGTGCACCATTTTCCATAAGTGTTCACTCTGAAAGCCAATGTTTTCCTCTCTCCAGGGAGTCAGTCTGGCAGCTGCCAAGGAGCAGGGACAGCTTGTCTTCCTGGAGGGTCTCAAGTCCTGCCTTGACCTCCTGTTTGGGGAGGAGGAGCAGCCAGGACAGCCCAGTCCTCTGCAGTTTCTGAGGTGAGCCTGAGCATGGAGTGTTCCCCCTCACATCTGCTGCCACCAAGGGCACCACCCAAGGTCCAGGACTGCATCCTGCTGCCCTTTGTGCTCTTCTCCAAGGCCCAAGGACTCAGCTGGACACCAAGGGAAGGGAAACACCAGCATTGTGCACATCCCTCCAAGTGTTCTGGCCTCTCCCTCGCTGCTGCTTCAGGGGCATCCTGTCTCCCTTTCCAGATTTTAGGGGAACTTGCACTCCCAACCTCATTGCCAAGCATGTCACAGGTCTAGAAAAACATTTATTTCAGCACTCCACAGGTTTGTGTGGAATGAAACCCCAGCCAAGTGGTTTTATTCCCTTCTCTCATTACTTTGAGTTTTATTCTTATCCATGAGAGCAGTGCTGCTTTATCCACGCTGGCTTTTGGGTTTATTCCCGTGCCATTTTCTCCCTGTTCCCTGGGAAGCTCAGCAGAGGCCAAACACTTCCCTGTCAGTGTCCCAGGCCATGCTGGACTGGGCTTGGAGCAGCCTGGGAGAGTGGAAGGTGTCTGTGCCATGGCAGAGAGGTGGCACTGGATGGGCTCTGAGTTTCCTTCCCACCCAAACCGTTCCACGGCCCCCGGAGCAGGGCAGGAGGGTTCCACCACACGCAGGTGTGAAGGACAGGGGCTGAAGGGCAGTGAGTGAGGAGGTGGCTGTCACAGCAGGAGGGGACAGGCTGGTGATCCCCACCGTGGGTCAGTGGCTGAGGAGGGGGACGGGCGGTGCCAAGCCCTAACACGTCCCTCGTGTCTTGCAGCGGGAGCAGCTGTGACCTGCGAGCCCTGTTTGACTTCGTGCGGGTGTCCCTGAGCGCCACCGCCGGCCATTCCTGGAAGGGCCCCGTGCTGTTGGTGGATGACCTGAGTGTCCTGCTGAGCCTGGGGGCTGCGCCGGTGGCCGTGCTGGACTTCATCCACTACTGCCGTGTGTGTGTATGCTGCCAGCTGAAGGTACTGCTGCCCCGGGCTCTGCCTGTGCTCAGCCTCCAGAGCAAAGCCTGGTCCGTCTGCTCCTTCCATCTGACCATGCTGAGGTTTCTGAAAGCCTGTGGCTGTCCAGGGAGTTCAGATCATTGCATCATTGCTCTGGGGCCGCTCTTGGGAATTGTGTGGGTCCCTGTGCAGGCCCGTGTTCAGCTGGATTCCTGGGAGATGCTGCCCAGAGAAGGGTTCTGTGTGTCTCTGATGTATGAACAGGGATTTGAGATGTAAAATGTTGGGTTTTGGAGCTCCTGGCTCTCCAAAGATCCTGACTCACACGCCTGTGTGGGAGGGCAGGGGTGGAAATGGGTCATGTGAGGGGCTGGTGAGTCTCACAGGGGACAGAAATGAGGGGTCCCTTTGGGGGCACACCAGCCCCTACTCCCACCACCCTCCAGTGTGGCTGCTCCCCGAGGTGGGGTGATGATCTACAGAGATCTCCCAGCGATGTGGGGACTCCTGGGAGCACCACAGCCAGGAGTGCTCACAGTGACATCCAAGCTCTGCCATCGCAGGCAGCATCCCCTCCCTGGGCACTTCCCTGCAGGAGTGAGGAATGAGCCAATGGTGCTGGGTGCTGTCACCCTGCACTTCACACAGTACAGGGTGTTGGGCTGTATGTGCTGACAGGCATGATCTGCTGGCAGAGAGTATTTACCTCCAAAGAGCTAAAAAAGATATCAACCACGCTAACACTTTGCTATTTCTGTCTGAGGTGTTTTGAAGCCTTAAAGTACATTTTAATTGATTGAGAATTCGTGTTATTTTAAGTCACTGGTGACTTGCATGGGCTGAGGCAGAGTCTCTTGGGGTGGCTGTTAATAGAGTCAGTGTGCTGGGGAGGTGTTTGCTCCCTGTCAGAGCTGTGAGGGTGTGAGCATTGCTGCAGCCCTTTGGCCACCTCTTTATTTACCTGCTCTGAATTCAGTCAGTGCCATCTGCCCAGCCTGACAGACTGGTTCAGCCACTGTCTCCTCTCAAAGGCTGGAGGTATTTTTAGATTGCATGTTACATATGTGTGTGTGTACACAACGTACAGTGAGCTCCTCAGTGTTTGTATGTCACAGAATGGCCTGTGTTGGAAGGGACCATAAAGATCATGTGTGCTGTGGGCAGGGACACCTCTGGGTTGGGCCCAGAGCTGGAGGCAGCTCTGCAGGGGGGTCTCCCCTGGGTGGGGCATAGGGGCAGAATCCCCCCTCCACTGCTTCCCACACTGGGGGTCAGCCAGGGGATGGGGGGATTCTGGCTGGGCCATGTCCACCCTCAGCTTGCTCTGAATTCCACTGGGATTCCACAGCTCCATTAGCAGCTGCTAATGGAGCTGTGGAATCCCAGTGGAATTCAGAGCAAGCTGGTGCTTAGATGGGATGTTTGTGAAAGCTCCTGCTGCCACCCTCCCCATCCTTCCCCTAAAGAATTAGGCCCAGCCAGGGGCTCATCCCTGCCTGCTGTTCCCGTTGCAGGGGAACGTGGTGGTGCTGGTTCACAGCAATGAGGATTCAGAGGATGAGGAGAATGAACTGGTTGTGAACTCCCTGTGCCATCACAGCGACCTCATCCTGTGGGCAGAGGGGCTGGCCACCGGCTTCTGCAAGGATGTTCACGGGCAGGTGAGGCACAGCAGTGTGGACAGCTGGCACGTGTCCCTGTCACCTACAGCACTGCAGGCCCTGGGGTGGTGGGAGACAGCCCAGGCTGCAGTGTGGTTAAGGGTAATCCCATGGACACCTGGATCTGTTGGAGCACCCGGCTGTCACTGCTTCTGCAGGGATATTCAGGGACATCCTGCCACCTGGGACTCCCCCCCTCCAGAAGCTTTCCAGGGTTTGTACAGCAGCTGCAGTGCAGGCTTCTCCCAGCCCGGGGTGAGGGAAAACTTTCCTGGGAAGTTTCCCCCAGTGGTAGATCTGAGCCTGGCCTGTGGTGATCTCTGCAGGGCTGGGAGGGGGCTGCCACTTGTGTGATCCCTCATCAGGGGCTGCCACCAAAGGCACAGGGACAGGCAGCTGCTGATGGATTGTCAGTGACCCCCCTTCCCTGCAGGCCAGCCAGAGGCATGGGGGCAAGGCTGCTCTGGGCAGCAAAGGGACAATGTTCCTGTTCCCTTCTCTTTGCAGATCAAGATCATCAAGAGATTGTCCTTGCGGCAGGCAGAGCAGGACCAGGTCCAGACCTACCAGTACAAGATCCAGGACAGGAACGTCACCTTCTTTGCACGGGGGCTGTCAGCTGCAGTCCTGTGACACTGGGACAGTGCAGAGCCTGCAGTGTCAGTCCCTGCCTCTGCAAAAGCACCACCAGCACCTCTCAGGAGCAGCACAGTGAGCTGACCCACGAGGGAGGCTCAGACACACCTGCAAGTGGTGCCACCGTGGGATCAGCCTGCCTGGGGCCTGCTGCATCCCTTTGTCCTCCCACCCCGTTCCCAACACACTCAGGCCAAGAAAGAGAGCAAGAACTTGCAAGAATGGCCCAGAATGGCCCTTGGAGCATGTAAATACAGGCAGGGGGTGCCCTGCGGGCTGGGTGTGCCTGGCCTCACCTTTTCCGGTGCCAGGCACTGCACGGAGGGAGCTGGAGCTGGCACGGGAGGGGATGACACACAGCGGGTGGAGCAGGGATGGTCCCGGGGCCTGGTGCAATCCTCCCCTCGCTCCCAGCTCTGGCTGGCAGAGGTTTGGCCATCTGCCAGCTTCCCTGCACTTGGTAAATCCACAGCTCCGTGTGCAGCCCTCCCCTGGCTGTGCTGAGAGCTGGCACTGCCATGCTTTATCAAACCCTGTGGCTTCCCAAGCTCAGCCTGGGCTTTGTGCTTGGATAAACCCCTCTGTGAGCCTGTGTCAGCCACTGCTTCCTTATCCCAAACCCTGACTCGAGTTACACGACCTGCCTGTGCTGAAGCAGGTTTTTCTATTAATAATCTGTAATTTCAGTGAGATAAGGGTACAGTGATTAAGTAACCGTGGATCTCTGGGTGGGAACTGCTCCCCACCTGCTCCTTGGCAGGGAACAGGAATGGGCATATCCCAAGCCTGGGTGAGGACAGAGCCTTCTCCTGGCCACAGAGCTCAGGCCTGGAGGTCTCCTGGTAGCTGCTCCTGCTGGGATATCCCATTTATCCTGGGAGATAAAAACGCCCCACACACTTGTGAGAGTCCAATCTGCCAGGTCCTTGCAGCTCCAGAGCTGCGATAGCAGCTCTGGCAGTGGGACACATTCCTGATTTTCCACGTAGACTCAGTGGCCCATCCCATGCTGATTTGTGCCCTTTGCCTTAGAGTTCTGGGAGCCCTGGCAAGCTCAGGGCTGTGGCTGCTGATCAGTGGCACCCAGGGAAGCCAGGCAGGCTCCAGGGATTGTGGCAAAGCCACAAGGAGGGAGGGGAGTCAGGCCATGTGTGTGCTAGAGGATCACTGGTCCCTGGTGTCCCCTGGGTCTCTCTGTGCTCGGCTGTGGAAGTGGCAGTGCCCAGTGCCACTGCTGCTGTCCCAGTGTGCTGGCAGTGCCCAGGGTCACTGCACTGCCCCAATATGCAGAGGCAGGAGGAGAGGACCAGTAGCTGCTGGCACTGCAGCAGCCTAAAGTGCATCTGTGACGGGCACAGAATGGTGAATAATTGGAGTAATGTCTGTGGGATTATCCTTAGAGAAATCCCAAATTCTGGCTCCCAGGCTCTGCCTCCCTCTTGAAACTGGCTGGGTCACTGTGTGACATCACTGCTGTGTGACATCACTGGTGCCTTCTGCCTGGTTCTTTCTGCCATAACCAGTGCCCGTATCCCAGAAATGTGCCAAGGAGCCTGGGCCTGACCCCCCATGACCCCATGCAGGGCATGTTCCCTGGCATCCAAGCCCTTTGGAAAGAGCCTCTCTGCCTGCACAGTGCAGTGGTGTGAGCTTGGACAGGGCCATGAGGCCTGTGGGGGTTACTGAGTCACAGCCCTGCCCAGTGTCCAGCAGTGGCCTTGGCCACCAGGACACGAGGGGACAGCTGTGCTGCCCAAGGCCACCGGCGTGGCCGTGCTCCGACCAAGGCCTCGCTCTGGAGCTGACGCTGCGGGAGGGCAGCCCGAGAGTGGATGGCAGGAATGGTGCCATCGGTGGCAGGACAGGCTGGCCTTGCCTGGGGTCAGCCACCAGCTGCGTGCTCAGGGCCCTGCCATGCACTCAGGGCTGTGTGTGTGCCAGCCAGAGCTTGGGCAGCGCTGGAACTTGGGTGGGACTTGGCCTGAGGGCTCAGCTCTCTTTGGGCTCAGCTCTTGGGTGGGACTTGGCCTGAGGGCTCAGCTCTCCCTTCCCTTGGGCTCAGAACTTGCTCTGGGACTTGGCCTGAGGGCTCAGCTCTCCTGTTCCCTTGGCCTCGGAGGGAGCTGCGAGCAGGGGAGGTCCCACCAAGGCTGGGGCTGGTGGTCAGGGGTGCAGGTCCCTGGGAGAAGGGGATGTGTTGTATTGGGAAATCTGCAGGCAGCAGGGACTGGTAAGGGTCAGAGTGTGCAGCAGCAAGAAGGGCCCTGGAAGGGCTGTTCTGGGGGTGCTCAGCCCCTGGAGATGAAGGAGCAGGGCATGTGTTTTGCAGCATGCCAGCACGATGCTGGCAGGAGAGCAGGGGCATGGCTGGGGGCGAAGGAAAGATCCCTTGGCCTTTGGGCACCGCTTGCCCCTTCCCGTAGCGTGTGCCCAGTGCCTGGCCCGCTTCTGTTCCCGGGACCCAGAGTCCCCTCTGTCCCCTGCACCGAGCCAGGGCTCCCGCTGCAAGGCGCTCCCTCCCGAGGCGCTCTGTCCCGGGATGCTCCGGGGCTCCTCGTGCCAATCCCCGCCATCAGCTCCTCCTGTCCCTCTGGGGATACTCGGGACCCGCAGCGCCTGACCCGCACGTTCCCGCCACGCCCGGTGCACGGGCCGGCTCCGCTCTGCCCCGAAGCCCAGCGCGGTCGGTGCCCGGTTGTGCTCGCACGGCGCCGGCCGCTGCAGGGCCCGGGCCCGGTCCCAGTACCGGTCCCGTTGCTGCCGCAGCCGCCCGCTCCCCGCTCCACGTGCTCGCGCCGCTTCCGGGGGCGCGGCCGGAGGGACAGGGGGCGTGGCCACTGAAAAGAGGGGATGGGCATCGGGGCGTGGCTATGTAAATAAAGACGTGTATCGCGCTGTGTGGGCGTGGCCATGCAAATAAAGCCCATATTGGGGGCTCACGGCTCCCTTGAGGGCGTGGTCGGATAAACGTGGGCGTGGCCACGCCGACGGCGGGGGGTGTGGCCGGCGTGCGGCGCTGCGCGCGCGCGGTCGGGGCCCGGCGGCGGCGGCAGCGGGGGGAGGGCGGGAGGGGGTGGGAGAAGCCGGGCCGGGAACGGGCGGAAAGGCTCGGGATTAACGCGGGTTTGCAGCTAATAGAGCCCACAACATCCTGCGCTAAAAAAAAAAAATCCGGAAAAACCCCCCACCCACGAAGCACGAGAGCCGCGGCTGCTGGGAGGTCAAAGGGCGGAGGTGAGGAAGGAGCCGCTTCCCGGTGAGGTGAGAAGGGCCCGGGGCGGGCTGGGGCTGCGCGATCGGCCGTGGGGATAACCCCTCACCACCCGTGCCCTGCCTCGGCCTCCCCTGGCGGGGGCCCGGGGCCGCGCTCCTTCCCCCGCACCCCCGGCCTCCCCTCCGGCCCGCATCCCCGCTTTTACCGGGGCAGGAGCGCGGGATGGGAACGCGGAGCGGGATATTCGGGAAGGGAACGGGGGGAACGCGGGGTGTTTTATTCCGGGGCTTGTCGGTGCCATGAGGATTCTGTGCCGGGGCTCTCGGGGACTGCGCTCGGTGCTGCCCGACCCTGCCCTGCCCATCCCGCGGGGTGATCACCGTCACCTGCCCGGGAATCTGGGCAATATTCGCGAATGGGCAGAGATGGAGGAAGGGTTGGGGCATCAAACCTGCCGAGCGAACAGGGAGAGAGGAGAGAAGAGCTTGATCGCCTCTGCTGCAGGACCAGGAGAGGGTTTTAGGGGAAGGATTACAGGGATGGAACATGTAAAGGGAGCAGTGGGACAGGAGTGAAACACTCCGTGGGTTTGTACAGGTCACTGAGCGCTCCGGAACCACACGGGTTTGGGTTTGCTGCTCTGGGCTTTAGGGAAAGGATTACAGTGATGGAACATGTAAAGGGAATGGTGGGACTGGGAATTAAATACTCCATGGGTTTGTACAGGGTCACTGAGCCCTCCAGAACCAGATGGGTTTGCTGCTCTGGGCTTTAGGGAAAGGATTACAGGGATAGAATATGTAAAGGGAATGGTGGGACAGGGAATTAAATACTCCATGGGTTTGTACAGGTGACTGAGCCCTCTGGAACCAGAGGGCTCTGCTGCCCCGGGTCTCTGGGGACCTGGCTCTGTGCTCACTCAGTTATCTCGCCCCCTGAATCATGAACTGAACTGAACCACAAACCTCTGAACTTTGGGGTTTGCTCAAAATTTAGGAGTCGACTTCCTCGTGTGAGTCAGAATGAACATCTTTACATTATGTGTGATCTAACTACTGAGGGGCTTTTGGAATGCTGAGGCAGTTGTGGGGCTGTGCTGGGGAGAATCCCGAGGAAAGGACTCCAGAACGATTTTGGCCTCAGTGCCAGAATTTCCTGAATGCAGCATCCACGTGTTTTTCCGGGTTGTTGAAAGGCAAACCAAGTTTCTTTTCATTCAAGGGGCAGCGATGAGGCATGAGCTCCCTCTCTGTGAAAGCAGAGCTGTGAGGGGAGGACTAGGGTGGTAAATTTGGGATTACACGAGCTGTTGTGTAATGCAGAAAGGAGATTAGCTGGGATTGGGAAGAGAGGAAAACACCCCGGGATGTTCCCTGAGCCTGTGGCACAGCTCTGTGTTTCCAGGTACAACTTGGCATGGCTTATTTTTCCAATCAGGATTTAAATATAACATTCCAAAAGAGCCCTGAACAATCAGGCTTTGTCTCAGGAGCATTAAAATAGTATTTTAAGTGTCAGAATCCTATGATGAATGAATTAGTCAGGCTCTCCCTGAGTTACTCAACACTGTTTTCAGTCAGGGGGTTGCTGGGCCTGTCTGGCGTCAGAGCTTGGATCATTATGCACCAAAAACTCCTTTTTTTTCCCTCTCTGATGAGAATTTAAAAAGTAGAACAGGTACAGCTCGAGGAACAAAAATAGCATTACCTGCCTGCAGTGGAATGTAGTCGGTGAGGAGCAGCAGCTCCTGGGAATCCTTTCCAGGCCAGGCAGCTGCAGGCACCTTCCTCTTCCTCCCCTTCCCCAGGAGACTCCAGGGGCTCTGGGGGACAGGGGGCACAGTCCCTGTGCCGGGCAGCATGGAGGGATTGCTGGCACACGGGGCTCCTGGGACTGGAGGGAGAGGTGGAAGCAGCTTGCCTTGGCTCTGATATCTGTGATTATAATTCCTCTGAATCCCCTTCTCCCCCTGGTGCAGAGCATTAAAGGGTGAGGAAGAAAGGCTGAAGGAACTGAGCAGTTCTGTGGTGGTGCAGCTGCTATTGCCAGGTCTGGGAGTGTTACTGCTCACATCCAAGATACCAGGGCAGGGAGCAACAGGGAACTGAGGGTGCCTGTCTTGGAGGGAATCTTAATTCATGTCCTCAGGTGAAGACCCAGCTCCAAAGACTCAGAACAGCCTTGGCCTTTTGGCATAACTGGGAAAAAGTAAAGTTCTCCTTTCAGGAAAAGAGTGAATTCAGCTGGAGTGAGAGCATAGTGGGCAGTGGAGAGGGGAGCAGGATTGCAGTTCTTAAATCTGAATTAATCTTGTATGGAGCATTGTGGTGAAGGAATAATAGTTGGTTTGTTTACAAAGGACAATGTTTGAGTCAGACTTCGGGGCTTGCTGCCTCACAGAGGAGTTTTGGGATAGTTTCTCCATCTGGAAGAAAGAGTGCAGTGATTTCCTGGGCCTGGCTTCCTAGCTGCTGGTGATTAGAAAGGAAAATGTTTGGTTGTGTGTGCTGCTGGGGGTGCCCAGTGTCGCTGCTCGGGGCTGGCAGCCCTGGCACTTGGTGTGCTCAGCCCTGCCCTGCTGTGACCCAGAACCTGTGGAAAGCCAATCCCAGGCAGGTGCATCACCTTACAGCTGCTGTGTCCCTCTTTGCAACCCCCAAGATGTGGGAGTGCAGACTCCTGAGCCATGGGAGCTGTCCTGAGCAGAGCTTTGGGGGTTATTTCTGAGGGAACCATGCAGGGCAATGCAAGCTCAGGGCTACGTCTACATTTTTGCTTTTTATTGCATGGATTAATGATCAGAACTGTGGGGTTTCTCTCCCTTTTGTCATCCTGCCTGTGAGGGGATCCCTGACGATGCCATGCCTGACACCAGAGCTTCCAGAATTCCAGAGTCAGGCTGGAAACAGGGCTGGAGCTCTGGCTGGGTCTGTGTGGAAATGTGTTCCCCAGAGAGCCAAGGGCACACTTCTGGTTCCCTGCCAAATCCACAAGTTGTGGAAACCCTTCACTGAACAGGAACCCAACTGGTGCTGCACCCCAGCCCTCCCTCTGGAATGGGAACACTCCTGGTTTATGTTTCCACAAGGTGTTTTTGGAAATGATGGTGCTGAAGGGATAAACTGTGTTTGACCCAGCTCTAATTCCAGTCAGTCAGGAAACCCCTGGCAGTGCTGGCTGGGCTTTGCTGCAGGGTGGGTGAAAGTGCTCAGCAGGTATTTCTGAAGGGTTTTGGAGGGGTTTTCTTCTAGGAGAAGGCAAACAGACCCCGTATGGAGTGTGGGTTTGGAAAATGCAGGGTTCTGTTTAGAGGGTTTACGTGGATGTGGTTTTACCTGGGAAGGGTTTTGGGAAGCTGCTGTCTGCTCCTGGGGCTGGAGCAGGGCTGGCAAAGGAGCTCCAGGTCCTTCCACAGACAATGTTTGCCCATCTGGGCACCCCTGCAGGTGTTGCTGTCCTCTTTAACTGTCCCTGCCCTGCCAAGCTGCAGGTGAAGCATCTGTGGTGGCACATCCCTTAAAAAGAGGTGCAGAGAAGGTGCAGTTCAGGTATTCAGGCATGGATTTGAGTTTTGAGTTTGTCTGTTTCAGAACTAAACACCAAAGCATGCAGACAGAAGGTGTTTGCCTGCATTAAACAGGCTGGTGTGGGTTTTATATCCTAGTACTGATCATTGACCACCGATGCTGATTTCTGTTCTGAAGGAGAGTTTTGGGGCAGGAAATGTGTCCTGTGCAGGGAGAGGAGCCCCAGCCCTGGAGAAAGGAGCAGGGAAGGAGCTGTGCTCAGCTCAGATCCTGGTTTTCTGAGGTGGAAGATAACTGAGGAAGAGAGCGAATCTCTACTGAATCTCCACTGGCCTCCTTGGGATGGTGAATGGCCCCAGGTGCTTCCCAGGCAAACTTTGCCTCACAAAAGCAGAGCTGGAGCTGGGCACGAATCCTTGAAGTGCTGATTTATCTCCAGCACTCCTGCAGTCAGGGTGATTCGAACCCAGAGGTGTTTCCATTCCTCTTTTGAACAGCAGCAAGGCCACAAAGGGAGGATTAAGATAGAAATCAAACCTGACTGTCAGAGGGCATCAGGGCACACATTATTCTGGGAATGTCCTCATGGCAAAAGGTGGTAAAGGAAAGAACAAAGAGGAAAACTTGATGTGTGGCACCCCCAAAACTGGAGTGTTCAGCACCTTTTGACTCTTGGTGAGCAACTGGTGCTGGTGGCAGGCTACAAAAAGGAAGAGCAGCTTTGCAAGCTGTCGTTTCAGGGAGGGATTTCTGTGTGCTCAAAGCAGGGACTAAAAAAGACCTGAAAGCTTCAGGAGGCATCTTTGAGGCATAGAAAGTCAGTGATGTTTCTGAAGGCTGGAGGAGAGCGAGCCGTTGGTGTGGGTGGGAGTGGGACAAGGGGAATGGGCAGGAGTGCTGATCCCAAAATCCTGCAGCAGGTGGGACATGGCTGAAAAGAACCTGGCAGGGAGCAGGAGTGCAGAATGGCTGGTGCTGCTTTGCCACAGGTACTCCTTGCCAAGGTGAGCTTGCTCTTTCCAGGATAAGATACCAGGGCTGTTTCTGCCTGCAGAAAAGCAGCTGTGGCCGTGAATCCTCTAAGATTTGAGTTTTATCCAAAGAACAGTCTTGAGTAGGTGCAATTGAAATAAACTCTGAGCCTAAGAAGGTGCCAGTCTGTGATGGATAAATGAATGTACTCAGAGCAGCAGTAACAGCCTTGTTAATGGGCCTGGGTGTTCTGAGGGGGCTCTGGGGGCTCCCTCACCACTGAAGTGCCAGAACAGACTGTGCACATTCAAGTTGTAAATGACATAAAGCAGGCAAGGGCTGCACGTGTGACTCAGGAGTGAGAAATGGGTTTGAGCAATTAAACATGGCCTGAAATGGGGCTGGTGGTGAGGAAGGACAGCGGTGAGGTTGGGGTTCAAGCAAAAATAGCCAGCTGCAGGCATGAGGATAATTGATGAGGTGTAATCCCTAACTAAAGGAACCTGGTGACCTCCTGTGTGTGTGGGAAGGGGCAGGTGAAAGTCTGA